TTATACTTGCCTTTGTGAATGCATGAATGTGAAAAGTATGCCTTGAAACTTCTTTGTGAACCATGATATGTTTCTTGATGTTGCAACCTCATGAACATGATCCTTCACCCCCATTTTACTTGTTGATGTGTCTTGTTAGAGCATAGCATGTTTAAGGTTGTTTCTTGCCTTGAAAGTTACCATGAATCTTGTTTATCTTTCCCTTTGTGAAGTTTGAATCCATGCTTGAACTGTTGTTACTTTTCTTGCATATCCATGTCTCCCACCCCCATCTTACTTGCTTATGTGTCTTGTTATAACCATAACATGTTCAGGGTTGTTTCTTGCCTTGAAAGTTACCATGAATCTTGTTTATCTTTTCCTTTGTGATGTTTGAATCCATGCTTGAACTGCTGTTACTTTTCTTGCCTATCCATGATTGATTGTCATCAATATGTCTTGAATATGATTAAATGTGTTACATTTGTATTTAATTGATTCATATACCATGTTTGATTCAAGTTGTAACTTGTTTGCATGATTTTTTTTTAATACCATTGATGAAAATGTTGTTGTTACACATGTTTCATGCTTGCCCTAGTTGGTTGTTACCTACGTGATCTTTGAACATTTTAATGTTAAATCATAAAAGCTTGGTTGTTACCATGCTTTTTGTGTTCAATTTGTTAATTGATCCTACTTGTTTATATTTATCTTTATCAAGTTAGTTTCCCCAAGTGGTATAGCTTGTTAGCTCTCATCCAGTTGTTTTGTTATCCCTTATTCCAAAGGAAAGTATATCTATTGACTTCACTGTTATAGATAGCTCATTACCCCTCCTCTTGACTTGGTTAAGTCATTAGGTCCTTTAACTTGGTTAAGTTAGAACCTATATCCATTAGACTTTGCTTTAAGTCTAAATACCTACCCCTTTTTAGGAGTATTCTTCAATTAAAACTTTAAGATAGAGTTTGTTAACTCTATTTAAGGATCATTGTCATGATTTCTTATTCCCCTCTTGGCTTTTGTCAAAGTCAATCCCCTTGAGTGTTAAACTTAGATCTAGAGAGTTTTGTCAAATTCTATACAAACATTGTTATGTTTGTTCCCTCCTTGGAGTCTTGACCCTAGTCAGGTATTCCTCAACCTTAGTGAGGTGAACTACGGTTGCTCTGATTCCATCTTAGTAAGGATACGTAGGCATAAAATGCGATATCTTTGCGAGCAAACTTAGAACTATCCTTAGGTCTTTACCTCAAACCTTACCTTAACCTTGACCCCATGACCCTAGCAAACAAAAACTTAGATAACTTAGCATACATATACACAAAAGGTTCTTGTAGAGTACTACATATGTTCAGGATGTGAATAACTACCCTAGGCACAACCAACCCCCAAACCCAGAAACTCTAGAATAGTTGTTACATCGCGCAAAAGGTTTTTTTTCTTTAACCTTTCCTTTGAATAAATCAAAACTCAGTGGTGAATTTCAATGAATTAAGATTCAAGTTAATCAATACTTGATATTCGATTCTCATTGCAACAAAATGACAGAATGTTTTTGCGGGATACGCGAGATCAGTTGGTCATGTTTCCTCGGGTGAGGAGCACATGGGGAATGTGCTGTCTAACAGTTATGATAGATTGGGTCTTTGTGTTGGGCCTTCTTCGACGTGGAGAAGGATTGGGTTGTGCCCGACGGTGGGTCAGTCCCAGGCCCAGTCCAGAATAAGAGTCCCCATAAGTCTTTGCTCTAAGGTAAGGGAGTAATGTCTTAGAGTCAGTTCATATGTCAAAGAGGGACACAGGAAATCCTCGCGAGGAAAGTGTTTATTCGGATTCGCGGCTGCGAGCTCGCGATGGAGCGTGAAAGTTACCTCTCGTGTCCGACAATACGAACCTGTTAAAAGTTTTTATTCAAGTTTCTGCTCAAGAGATGCCAAACCGCTTGCGAGTTTGCTCCAAAACACCTTTGAGGGCGTGCTCGCGAATGTTGTGAAAAACCGTTGAGGTTATGCTTGCGAATGTGTGCTCGTCACCTTGGAGTATGGTAGATTAAGGGGACTTTAAAGAGAATAATGCATCATATCCTTGAGCCACGTGCTAGGAGTTGAAGAGGAAGACACGCTGTCCCCTCGAGCTACATGACGAGACTCAAAAGGACAGACGTGACATTTCTTCAAGCCACGTGTCAGAAACATTAAATGCATATGACGGCCTACGAGTAGGGGTACTCGAGAGCCTAGGCGACGATACGCTATCCAATGCCAAGATTATAAGTAGGGAGAACTAGGGCTCATTTGTTTATTTCGCTCTCATTCTCCTCATCAGCATTCCTTTTGTTCTCAAAACACTTCTTTATTGCCGCCGCTACCTCTACCTTTTTCTGAATCGTGTTCAAACATCTTCTAAATCAAGTAAGTATCCTTGTCTAATCTTCGATTCGTCTGTAGTTTGGAATTTAGGTTTGTATGTTGGGCTTTGGGAGACGTTGATGTTTGGCGGTGGTTTGGCCGCTTCCAAACACCGGTGATAGGAGAGCCTTGCTCTTAGATGCTAGGTTTTGTGTTGAAATTCGCTCTGGCACCGCTGCCAAGGCGGTAAGTGTGACTTTAGTCGGTAGAGCTATGAATTTTCCTATGAAGTTCTTGCATCGAAGAGGATCTTCCCCACGACGTTCATGAGTCTCTATTGGAGTTCTTGCATTGAGGAGGATCTTCATCTCGACGTTCATGAGTCTCCATTGAAGTTCTTGCGCCGAGGAGGCCCTTCCTTGTGAGGCTCATGAGTTTATGGTGATTTTCCCCGTATTTTGGATGGACCCTCGTGCCGGGGAGCCTTCTCCTCGTGGAGTATCGTATTTGTGCTAAATTCTCTTGTCGAGGAGAATTCTCGTCGGGGTATCGTCGACTGGTTGACTAAGGTCATTCCGGGGAGAATATCCTCGTGACTTCCGAGCTTACCTCCGCCCTTTCACTTGATTTGCAGTGGGAGGGTGAATTTGATTTGATCGTCAAATTTATTATTTTCCTATGCGTTTCAGGTTTCAATGGCTCTCAGTGTATAAGGTAACGAGCTAGTCGACACTATCACTGAAAATAAGTTGGCTTGGGTCGGGTTGAAGCCTCGGAAGATAGCCTCACGCTTTGTAAATTTTTCTGAGAGCGCGTTCACCGTCGTCGATGAGACAACAGGTGTCGAGGGAGCCAAAGAGGAATGGTCGGTCTACAAACCTTCCCGGAAAGCACAAATTTGCTCAGCTTTTGCGAAGAATCGCTTTGCTATGTACGAGTTCGTGTTAACTAGGCCTTCGAATGCCATTTATGTGTTTATATATAAATGTGTAATTTTAAATAACAATGATACATTTTTGTGATAAATGTTGAAATAAAATCCGCACTCACTAAAGTCAAATTTAGATATTACTCAAACCCATTTATATATCAAATTAAAATTATTTTTTGATTTTAATTTATTATTAAATATATTTAAATGATATGTAAATTTGACTTTGGTATGTATGGATTTTACATGGTTTTGTAATATATACATTTAAACTAAATTTTTGTAAAGTTATTTAATTTAAATTTAATATATAAATAAGTATGTAAACTTAAATAACTTTAAAATACATATCTATATTTTAAAATAATATATATCTTAAAGTTATTTATAATTTATTTAACTTATCTATAATACATATCTATATTTTAAAATACTATATACTTATTTATATATTAACTTTAAATTAAATAACTCTGAAAAAATGTATTTTAAATGTATATATTACAAAACTATGTAAAATCTATACATACTAAAATCAAATTTACGTATTATTCAAACATATTTAATAATAAACAAAAATTAAAAAATAACTTTAATTTGATATTTAAATGGGTTTGAGTAATATTTAAATTTGATTTTAGTGAGTGCGAATTTTATTTCAACATTTATCACAAAAATGTAACATTGTTTCTTAAAAATTATATATTTATATATAAACACATATTTTATTAATTTATTAATACAATCCAAACATATTTAAATATCCAAATAAAAATTTATTATTAATATGTAAAAAAAAAATTCAAAACATTGACTTATTAATAATATATAAACAATAAATTCTTCATTACAATTAATTATAACGTCTCCATTAATTACGTGCATTTTATATGAAATAAATCTGGTAAAATGATTAACAATTACCTTTTAAACTAAATTTTACAATTCCACTAAATACGTAATAAATATTTCAAAATCATAACACTAGTTTTGCGATAATCTCTCCTTCAACTCTTCGCGCAAATTATTAACCAAGTGTAATTTACATTTACATAAAAACAATTTATTTAGATGTTTTTTTAGTAACATTTTAAAATTGCATTGATGTTTTAATATAACCTTTTAAGTAATACTAGTATTTTTCACATAGTCTTACTCCAAATTAATCTTTTAAACAAGCAACAAAGTAATTTTCATACAAAAACATTTTAATAAATTGATAAAAAACAAAGACAAAAAATAAAACATTTGAATTGTTCGGGAGAATTCAAATCTAATATAATAATAATTGAAATAATTTATAAAATATAGAGATTTAAAGAGGAAAAATAGAGCAAGTGTAAAGTTAATTGTTTGGAAGTATCTATGGATGCTTGTTCACCAAGTGAAGTTGTGAATTGGAAAACCGAATGGCGTATAACATTAGAATTCCACTCATATTCTTTAGGTGTGTTAATTTAATTTCAATATTATTAACCTAAAGTAAATTGAACATAAAAGCCCAGCTTTTATTATAACCCTTCACAACCGAAACTACTATCCCTCTTCTAAACTCTAAAAACGCCTCTCTCTCTCTCTCTCTCTCTCTCTCTCTCTCTCTCTCTACCGAGCCCGGACCCACTGGTAACGTGATTCGATATTTTTTTTTTTCTTTTCAGTTCGGTTTATACTCCTAAAGAAAACTAAATCCTCTTTCTTTTATCATCTAGCAGGTTGAAATTTCAATTTCGATTTCAATGGCTACGCCAAATCAAGAGATTATAGATACTTTTATCAGCATCACCGGCGTGTCCCCACCGGTGGCACTGCAAAAACTCCAGGTTTTCTTTTTTGCTTTTTTAGTTTTCTGATTAATGAATTGGTAGTGTTTAGATTTTAATTCGTATTGAAATAATAAGTTGATTCAATTTTCTTTGACGGTTTATCTCATCAATAGGGTTTTGTGCACTTTAGAATTTCAGGTTCTTTTTGTCCGCCGATCAATGAGGCTCGATTTGCATATAACTTTTCTGTTTTTTTATACTAGATTTGCGTTCTTAGTTTGATGATTTCTCTTAGTTTAAAAATGTCTGATACTTGTTGGAATCACTGTAATTTTTTGTATGATGTTGGATGAATCTGAGGGAATGAGCATAGAATTCTTTGATCATTGCTAGCAAAGTGCAAAAGCTATTTGTTTGGGATCTTGTTGAGGAACATGAGGAAAATCAGATTCCTCTATTTAACTTCGAGCTGATTGTGAATTTTGCCGCTTTTTCAATCCTATCTAACCATTCCACTTTTTTTTGTTATTTTGGGTAAGTAAAATTGGGCACAGGCTAGTAGCTTCAGCCTTTAGGGATAGATTGAAGTGTTTTATCTGTTTTGGTCTGTGGTATTGCTAGAAATCTGGTTTGGAATAAACCAGAATTCTGATCAACCACACATGGGACTTATGTTCTATCTAATATAGTTGTCTCAGATAATTGCACGTGAGCTAGGGATTTCACTCTTGCTGCTTGTGCTAGAAGTTATCGATAAATAATCTGTCACTCTTAGTTAGCTTCTAAATACTCTACACTGATATTGGTTATTACTCCCTCCGGTCCCTATTATGAGACCAGAGATTATTCAATTAAACTAAAATTGAACTTTTACTTGTAATATGGCCTGGAAGTTTTATTTTCTTATAAAACTAGTGTATAGAGCAAGGTCTTTTCAGTAGTGTTGGAGATGTCTTAAATATCTGCTTCTTCTTCATTTGGGAATTTTTTTCATGACAGGAGCATGGTGGTAGTCTTAATGAAGCTGTAAATGCATTTTTTAGCGAAGGAGATAGAAATTTGATGACCAGGTACACCCTTTTTCACGTATATTATAAGCAAGTGATTATTTAGAAATGTACTTAGTCATTGTGGTGTTACATTGTCTTTGTATTTCTGACATTGATTGCTGGCTCTTTGTTAATATTTTCAATCTACGCATTCGTCTTTGTATTTCTGACATTGATTGCTGGCTCGTTCTTAATATTTTCAATCTACACATTCGTCTTTGTATTTCTGACATTGATTGCTGGCCCTCATGACAGCTCTGCCACATTTCCTCAAGGGGATTTCATGGACATAGATGATGATCCACGTGATGATGGAATTCTTAGACCTCCATCTCTTCTATCTGCAGCCAGAAATCTCCATCCATTTTCTCTTCTTGATCCTACAATTGGTAGAAGTATATTTGATACTCATCTCAGTTCTTCAAATCAGACGCCATTTGTTACACATCCAAGAGAGGTAAGGGAGATTCCGATAGAGGTTAAGGATGGTAGTCAATCCACTCCTCAAGCTGGCCGCACTCCAATCGTTGAAGATGTCACTGGAACTGTTCATGCCCAAGGTTCGGATATACATGGGAGTGTCGTAATAGTTGACGATGATGACGACGATACTCCACCTGCTCCGACTCATACTTTGCCTGACAGTAGTGTGATACCTAGTGCTCCCAACTTTGAGAATTTACCCGATAGTAGCAATGACATAGAAGAAGAAATGATCCGTGCAGCCATTGAGGCATCCAAACGGGAGGCTGAGGAAAATTACAGCAATCACGAACTTGGCAGACAAGCTGTATGTTTATTTCTTAATGGAGTTTTTTCGGTCTGCTCTATTTTTATAGTTTGTTTAAGTTTCTATCTCCCACATGGTGCAGGACTTAAGTGAATCTGGGCCTAACCCAAGGCAAACATTTTTGGAGGATCCTGAGCTTGCCCATGCAGTTTCATTGTCCTTAAAGGTACACCTTTAATTTAGCTTCACTTATTCCTTCAGTCACTAACATTGACTTTTCTTTTTATATTGGAAATTTGGAGCCTGAATTGCTTCTAACATAAAATAAATCCAGACAGCAGAGCAAGAAAAAGCAAGACGTGTACAAGGTGATGTTGGAGCACCTACAGCAGGACCATCTAAAGCACCGGCGGTTGAATTAGGGGAAGTATCTTCAAATGGAAGGTAAATTATATTTTTGTTCTGCATGTGTAGCTGCTGCAATGAACTCGGCATTTTCCTTAAAGGCATTTCTCTTGTTACTCTAGATTGCAGGCAGGAAGCTTATCCTTTAAAGATGAAGATGAAGATGAAGATGTAGATGTAGAGGAGATGCCTTTGGTTAGGAACAGGTCTAGAAATGTATCACTCGGTTCCACAGCACCGGGCAAAGATGCTGACTTTATCGGATCTAGCACACTGCCAAGCACAACACTTCGGGAAAGCAGCAGTCCTCCTCCGCAAAATGAGGTTTCCTTTCCCTCAGATGAAGTATAGTCCTTCACTATGAATTTTCAAAATGGATAAAACTCTATTCACTTACTATGTCATCTCAACTTGTACTTGCATCATACTTTCCAATCTTTGCAGTGGGGTGGCATTTCTTCAGTGGAACATGATGAAGCAGTAATGCTTGAGGCTGCAATGTTTGGTGGAATCCCGGAAGGAAGTGGTTATCGCCATGCTTATGCACCACACGAGTTCATGCAGAATAGGGGTTTCAATCCTCAGCCTGCACCTGTTGCTTATCGCCCACCTTCACCATCATTGGAGACTCAACGCTTGATAAGGGAACAACAGGTGCCAATTATTTCTTAAATAGGTTAAAGTTATATGTATAATGAGATGGTCTAATTGTGGCTATTTTTATTTGATGCAGGATGATGAATACCTTGCATCGTTACAAGCAGACAGAGAAAAAGAGTTGAAAGCCATAGAGGAAGCTGAGGCTGCTCGCGAAGAGGAAAGACGGAAGGCAGAAGAATCTCAAAGGAAGTTGCAGGAAGAGCAGGTAATAATACATTTGTAACTGTTAAGAAATGTGGTTGGGCCTAACTCAACCCTACAAAACCGGTTTGTAGAGTGAGGATTTCCCCCACTTGTAAACACATATGTTCATGTCATATATTGTCCGATGTGGGACTCTTAACAGTAACTAACACTTGAAGGTTTATTTTTTATTTTTTTTATTTTTAAATTTTAAATTATCCCTTGGATAGAAATCAAATTCAAGTTTCCGTGTTGTTTTTCATGCCATTTTGCATAAACTGTCAGGAATTGGAAACACATTTAGCTGCCAAAGAGGCCTCTCTACCACCTGAACCAGCCTCAGGTGATGATAATGCTGTGAATCTGCTGGTAAAAATGCCAGATGGCAGCCGTCGGGGACGTCGATTCCTAAGATCGGACAAGCTCCAGGTAAAAATGCTTGTTACAAACATGCTTGTTTTCCTCCTTTATTCCAGTGGATACTTGTTAAACTGAGTTTGCTCCTGGAAATTTTCAGTCTCTTTTCGACTTCATTGATATTGGCAGACAAGTTAAACCAAGCAGTTATAGACTGGTGAGAAACCCCAATTTTTCTGCAGCTTATCTTTCTTACTTTAACTATAGATCCCAATTATTCAGGAAATTGACGATTTTTTGGTCTTTGATGTTATTTTTGGGGACAGGTGAGACCATATCCCAGGCGTGCCTTTGGCGTTGGAGAAAATGCTGTGACGCTGGAAGAGCTTGGCTTAACCAACAAGCAAGAGGCTTTATTTTTGGAGTTAGTCTGATGTCCTGATGCAGAAAGCTAGAAGACAAACTTTTGAAGTCTTTAGTTAGTTTTTCAAAAAATATGAACCAATACACAAAAGAACTTCATATTTTAATCTGGTTTTTTTGTGCTATATGATGTTATTGATAAATTTAAAGATTTACCGTGTGCTTTTACTTGTGATAAAAATATTCTCGGAGAATGAATTGATGGAGATTATACAATAGTCTGCAATATTCCATATAATTAAAATTATTCATGATTAATAAATTTGCAACCATCTTTTACCCAGCATACAATTTCAAATCCAATTTTAATACTACTGTTGTTTTATTGATCTGTATTATTAACAAAAAAATGTCCTTTTAATCAATATTAATATTTATCAATAAATTATTAAAAAAATTAAATCACTTTTGAAGTCAAATTGTATTTTTAAAAAAGAATTTAGAGACCAATTGGGGCTTTTCCCACCAATTAGCACCCAATATTCCACAATTTTTTTCAATCTAAAAGAGATCAATAGAAGGGAAATGTACTCACATGCCAAATAGGTCTTTATCTTGATAGATTAAAAGCCTGTTTGTTAAGAATTTTTTAAATAAAATTTTCATTGTTTGTTACATATTCTCATTTTGAATTTTTATAATTGCTTAAACAAATTTTTTTTTGTTGGGTAGCTTTTTCTGAAAATTGGTTTTACATTCAATTGAATTTGTCAAACAAAATTTATGAGAATTTCTTAAGTAAGTGCTGCCTCTGATAATTATTATAAGAAAAAAAAAATCTATTTTTTAAAGATATATTAAAATCAATACTCCTTCGGTATTATAATGTGTGACTTATTTAAAATCGTTTTAAAATAAATGATTTATTTTCAATACATGATAATTATTATAGTGTAAATATATTAATCAATGAATCTAAAAAATCAACTTTCTTTTATTTTTATAAGAACCAGAGAGAGTAGCATGTAGTATGATACTGTCCTATTTTTAACTTTTGAATTATAAAAGTGATTTTAATGTAAGGGTAATGCTAACTTGTACTCATTCTGATATTATTTATAAAAGAAAGTTAACTTTTTAGATTAATTAAATAATCAATATATCTCTGAGTTATACTGTCATAATTATTCAATGAAACTAAAAAATAAATTTTCTCTTATAAATGAAATCGAAGATAGTACTTTTTTTTTTTACGGGAAACACTTCTAACATTTCATTAATAATAATATTTTCGATAAATGTTGGTACATCATTAAAAATTTGGAAACTACCAAGATATGGAGCCGCCCGCGCTAAAAGTGAGCAACCTTATTGGTTTGTCTCCTAACGAACTTAACATGAGAGTTCCTATAGAGAAGGGCTAGCAAACACTTACACTCCTTAATCATAGCACCGAAATCCGAATCATTAGGATTATGGATGTTCACACTATCCACTACACTTTTATCATTTAACTCAAAATCCACATTATCCAATCCTAACTCATGAACCCATTTGATTGAGTATAAGAGCCCTAAAGCTTCACCCACATCTGCTTCAGTAATAGACGATAACCAAATAGTCTGGGCAACAACAAATACCCCTTTATCATCCCGAATGCAAGTACCTATTCCAACTTTATTATTTAAGAAGAATATATCAATGTTGCATTTTAACCATCCGACTGAAGGTTTGCTCCACTTGGATTCAAAAACCTCTTGATGCTGAGTGTTAAGCCTCAATCTGATCTGTTGGGCATCTTTTCAACCGGCTAATAAGTGATAAGCACGATGACAAATGAAATCTGGTGATTCTTCAGTATGATTCCGTACAATGTTATTCCTACACTTTCAAATGTTCCACAACATAGTTGAGAACACAACTTGTTGATCTTGGCTAGAATTATGCAAAAAGGAAAAAAATAATAGTAGCAAATTCACCATCATTATCCAATAACTACACTTAAGCTCAAACTAAACACTCACTCTTTTCCAACACTCAATACTCTTAGAACATTTGAGAAATAGATGGTCATAGTTCTCCTCTCCGATCCCACAAACACCATAAATAGAAGGACAATCCACACCTTTGTCCTTCAATCTCATGTTAGTAGGCACGCAATTCCTGCAAAGACGCCACAAAAAGTTTTTAATTCGTGGCGGAATCTTAAGATTCCATATCAAGTTCCACCTATTATCAATCTTAAGATAAAAGGTATCAATAGTTTCTTTAATACAAAAACGATAAATACTTCGAACGAAAAATATGTCATTTTTCTCCAATTTTCAGACTAACTTATCTTCTTGAACCGACTTGAATAAGAGAGTATTGAGAATCTTAGACACATCTTCTTAGAAGCACAAATTAAAAATTTAACGAATAAATGCTATATTAAAAATTGTGCATCAATTTTATCAATTAAATCAAAGTATATAATTCAAATTTTGTTGTTTTTTTAATACAATCTTCCCATAAATGGGTTTTCTTTAACTTGTGTCTTAAGTATTTTAACGTTACCAATGCATATGGTTATCTGGAATATGTTTGAATATTTTAAATATTTTTAAAAAATGATTTAAGTAAAATATTTTGCTTTAGTAACGGTTTCTAACTTATTCAAAACATTTGAATGAGATATAAATATTTTTTTCAAAAGAGTTTTACCATTTACTATGAAGAATTCTTCTTTATTGAATTAGTCTCTGCATAAATTGAAGAATTAGTTTATACTAAACAGTACAATCTTTTTTAAAGGATTTATGAATTTTTTTTCCAAACTATTTAAGCTTAAATATATTAATTCATATATTTTAATGTAAATTTAGTGATGGCAATTATTTTTTGAACAAAATTTTCTTTGATTAAAAAAAACTATAAATAAGTCTTTTAAATTTATCAAATTATTCATCTTAAATAATTTTTGAATAAACTTTTTATATTATTATTACTATTATTATTATTATTACTATTCTTACTATTATTATTATTGTTATTACTTCTATTATTATTATTATTATTATTATTATTATTATTATTATTATTACTCCTATTATTATTATTATTATTATTATTATTATTACTCCTATTTTTTATTTATTATTATTATTATTATTATTATTATTATTATTATTATTATTATTACTATTGTTATTATTATTATTATTGTTATTTCTACTATTTTTATTATTATTCTTATTCTTATTTTTATTCTTATTATTATTATTATTACTATTGTTATTGTTACTATTATTGTTGTTATTATTACTATTCTTACTATTATTATTGTTATTACTATTGTTATTGCTACTATTATTGTTATTATTATTATTGTTATTATTACTATTGTTACTATTATTATTGTTATTATTACTATTGTTGTTATTATTATTATTGTTATTACTACTGTTCTTACTATTATTATTCTTATTATTATTGTTATTATTATTATTGTTATTATTATTATTGTTGTTGTTGTTGTTGTTGTTGTTGTTGTTATTATTATTATTATTATTATTATTATTATTATTATTATTATTATTATTATTATTATTATTGTGAGATATTAGATCGAATTCTAGTATGGTGGTAGCTTCTGATTCGACAGGAATTAAGCATGAGGTCGAAGTCTGTTCACATGCTGCTGTCGGAGATATGCGTATTGTAGTCGAAGTTTAAGGGTTGTTAGCATGTTGAATTGAACCTTGCTTGTAAGCCCAATTGTTTAAGTTAGCTTGTAATGAGTAATTGTTAAAAAGCCCATTAGGTTAGTATGCAATTTTTCTTATAAATAGGATGCTAGTTTCTCAATCTTGGCATAAGAAAAAATCGGAAGATAAAATCCTAATTTCAAGAGAGAGAGGTTATTTTGTTATTCTTATATACTTGCAATCTTATTCTAAGAGAAGTGAAAGAATGACTGTTTATAACCAATCCTTGTTGTTCCTTGTTGTTTTACCTTGTTTTCTTTGTTAACCCTAACCCTCGTGTGTTTCTTGATAAAAAAGAAACCGTTTATACTTTGTTTCAAGACATCCGATTCACAACAAATTGGTGCGGTGAGCGTGGAGAAGATGCTTTCAACAAAGTATGAGATTGAAAAGTTCACCGGAGTGAACGACTTCGGCCTGTGGCGCTTGAAGATGAAAGTCCTACTGGTTCAACAGAGTTGTTTGGAAGCGTTGAAGGGAGAGGCAGCCATTGATGCTTCATTAACGAGAAAAGAAAAGACGGGCATGATTGAGAAAGCCCACAACACAATATTGTTGAGCCTTGGTGATAAGGTTCTTCGACAGGTATCAAAGGAGACTACAACATTGGGATTATGGATGAAACTTGAAAGTTTGTACATGACCAAATCTCTGGTGAATCGACTCTACCTGAAGCAAGCTTTATATTCATTCAAGATGAGTGAAGACAAAGTGTTGGCTGAGCAGTTGGATATGTTCAACAAGCTGATTCTTGATCTTTAAAATATTGATGTGAAGATCGATGATGAAGATCAATGACTGTTGCTGCTATGTGCTTTTCCTAAAACACGTGCTCACTTCAAAGAAACTTTCTTGTATGGAAGGGAGTCCCTGAGTTTTGAAGAAGTTCAACCAACCTTGTATTCTAAGGACTTGAACGAACGAAAGGAGCATAAGCCATCGACGGTGGGCGAAGGTTTGACCGTTAAGGGAAAATTCTTACGAAAGGATGGTAAGTTCGACAAGAAGAAAGGTAAAAGTCAACAGAAGTCTTATAGTGGTGAAACATCTGGTATTCGATGTTATCACTGTAAGAAGGAGGGTCACACAAGAAAGGTGTGCCCTGAACGCCTGAAAGATCATGGAGGTAATGGCAACGCAACCATTATTCAAGATGACTTCAACTCATCTGATGTTCTTGTGGTTTTAAATGGTGACTCGAGAAAAGAGTGGATTATGGATTCAAGTTGCATTTGGCGCATGACTCCAAACAGAGAATTGTTTAAGGAGATATGTGATTAAGATGGTGGATCTGTGTTGCAAGGAAACAACAAATCTTGCAAAAT